AAAGTGACTGTTGTTTTTGAGATGAGGAGTTGCAAGTAAACAATGTGTTTGGTGCAATATATTCAAGTGGGTGGGAGTTACAGAGTGGGGAAGAACATATGGATTTCTTTTATTTATTGCTTGTCCAAAGCAGTGAAGAGTGATTAATCCTGGCAATTTATCCCTCACTCACTTGCTTCCTTATTTTTCAAGCTATCTAGCTCAAATGTTTAACATATACTGTATATTGGATTTTGACGTAGCAACTCATTTTTCCAAAGGAACCTTTCTTACACGTAGCTATAGCCACACACCAAAATGGAATATGAGACATCAACATACTGCTTGTTAGGCCCAAGCAGCGAAGCGCTGCGAAGGCCTATTGTAATTGCACAGTTCATTAGACCGAAGCAATTTTTCAGTCAAATGAATTGGCCTTTTGGGGGCCTTAACATATCCCAAAACTCGCCAAATTTGGCAGACGCATCAGGACTGCTGAAAGATTACGTATTTTAAGGGTGTCGCAAAAATAGGAAGAAAAACGGATCAAGAGCACAACCTAGGAAATTTTCAAAATACCCTCCGCATTAACCTTAGATTGTCATAGAAGCATGAAATTTGGTACACTTGTCCAATTCCCCAAGATGCACAGAAAACCCAACGTTGTATGATAAACAGGAAGGCAGCCATTTTGGAATGCTGTCCTAAATTTCACATCTTTTTGGCAGTTTACAGCCTCGGCATTTGAACGAACTCCTCCTAGGGATTTCGCTCAATCGGTTTCAAACTTGGCCATTTTGGTCAAAAGGCATGGAGGACGCAAAGTTATCTAAACTGTGCATTTTGGAGCATGCTGAAGGGGCGGGGCCAGAACTCAACGTTTGACAACTCGCCATGAAAAACGAAATGTTATTAGCTCCTACACAAAAACTATCTGAGACATCAAACCTTCAGTGATTGATCCACATCCAGTCCCCTCCAAGACTAAGTGGTCAAATCATGACATTACTTAAGCCACACCCCCCAGAGAACAGGAAGTGTAGTTTTACGTTGAATGGTCCCTATCTGGCCTCTGTGATCTAATCAGCATGACAGTATGTCCAGTGACCGAAGACATGTTGGTGTAACTTGCTTCCAACACTGACAGTTTTGTGTGGAGCATATGGGCGGCATGGCATGGCGAAGTAAGACGTAACGCCGTCGCCATACGTTTGGCTCTAAATTGCACAGATTTGAGCCAAGGTAGACCAAAATCAGTTTGATCGATCATTATCCACCCCTTGAACAGGAATCCACGATAAGTGGCCAATAGCCTCCACAGCGCCCCCTATAATATTTTAAAATTTAAGCCCCAAGCCAATTTATGACTGATAATTCTGAAACTCAGTGAACATCTTTATCTTATTGGGACCTTTGAAAAAATCTCTTGGAGCCATGGTCCACACTCAAAAGGAAGTCGGACATTTTGGGTCAAAGGGTCATTTTTGGGTGTTTCTAATTCCGAGTATTAATAAACTCCTCCTAGAGATTTGGAAGGATTGCCTTCAGGCTTGGTTAATATGCCCTTAAAACATTGGGGAGTAAAATTTTTCATAAGATTGCGTTTTCGTATATGTTAAAGGGCCAGGCCTCAAAGTTGTGCTCCATGCCGTTAATTTCCAAACGCTATAACTTTCACATTGAAAGACCGAAATGCACCAAACTTGGCATATCATCCCTTTTGGATGCCTGACGATCCTCTGTGGTCATATTTGGATGTCATCAAAGCCCCACCTACTAAGAACAGGACGTCTTTTTTTTTTTTCTTGGAATGCTCCCTCTTTGACACCCTTGACCTAATCAGGATGATCCTGTGTTAGAATACATATAAAAAGTTGGTCGCACTTGAGTTAAATTACAAACAGTTTTAGTTGGAGGATGTGGACGTGGCGGCGTGATGAATTCAAAAGTGACACAGTTGCAATACGTTTGGCTCTAAATTGCAAAGATTTGAGCCGAGGTGCACAAAAATCACTATGATCAATCATTATCCACCCCGTGAACAAGAATCCATAATAAGTGGCCAATAGCCTCCACAGCGCCCCCTACATTATTCCTACAGTTATAGCTCAGTGATACATCATCCGATCTGTACCTGATTTATTGTGCATCATCAGTGAGCATTTCTACACACAATGGTATTGTTTTTTTAACATTAGACTCCAGTGCAGCCCCTAGATTATTCCAACAGTTATATCTAGTTAATACATCATTCGATGTGCACCAGATTTTTTGTGCGTCATCAGTGAGCACTTCTATATACATTGGTAATCTTCTTTAACATTTGACTTGAGTGCGCCCCCTAGATTGTTCCAAAAGTTATATCTCAGTGATGCATCATCCGATCTGAACCAGATTTTTTTGCGTAATCAGTGAGCACTTGGATACATATTGGATACATATATGTTCTTTAACATTTGACACCAATGTGCCCCCTAGATTATTCCAACAGTTATATCTCAGTGAAATATCATCCAATATGTGCCAGATTTTTTGTGCGTGATCAGTGAACAATTGTAGCTACATTGGTATTGTTGTTTAACGTTTGACTCCAGTGCGCCCCTTAGATTATTCCAACAGTTATATCTCAGTGATACATCATCTTATCTGTACCTGATTTTTTTTTTTTTGCTTCATCAGTGAGCACTTCGACACACATTAGTATTGTTGATTCATGACATCACTTAAGCCCCACCCACTCAGAGAAGAAACTGTCAATTATTGGGTGACTCTTCTAGCTTAGCCCTGTGTAAGATATGACTGAAACTATAACTGTTGATTACATGTTGAAAAGCATAAAGGAAGTGCTCGTCAAACATTCGCAACAAAACAGGAAGTCACAATAACTCCTGTCTGGAATGTCGTATTTCACGTATACTTGTAAGACCTGGAGCTGGACTAGTACTGACATGGATGGAAAACCATGTCAAAGATTCAGGAAATGCGCCTCGTGGTGAACGCGTGCGGGATAGGCACGAGAGCGTTCACGATGGCGACTGAGTGGAGTGGCTGGAGCTCCCGCAGTCGCCGTATGGCCAGAGCGGCGCTTTGCTGCGAGGGCCTTCAATGCTGCTTGCAGCTTTAAATCTCTTTGAAATTTGCTTCTGCACTACTTTTAGCTAGCCATGGTGCTACTTTCAGATTTTAACTACCATTCGGCTTTTTTTAATGTTACCAACTCAGTTTCAGAATCCTCAACATACAAACCGGATTCCAAAAAAGTTGGGACACTAAACAAATTGTGAATGAAAACTGAATGCAATGATGTGGAGGTGCCAACATCTAATATTTTATTCAGAATAGAACACAAATCACAGATCAAAAGTTTAAACTGAGAGAATGTATCATTTTAAGGGAAAAATCTGTTGTTTCCAAATTTCATGGCGTCAACAAATCCCAAAAAAGTTGGGACAAGTCCATTTTTACCACTGTGTGGCATCCCCCCTTCTTCATACAACACTCAACAGACGTCTGGGGACAGAGGAGACCAGTTTCTCAAGTTTAGAAATAGGAATGCTCTCCCATTCATGTCTAATACAGGCCTCTAAATGTTCAATCGTCTTGGGCCTTCTTTGTCACACCTTCCTCTTTATGAAGCACCAAATGTTCTCTATAGGTGAAAGATCTGGACTGCAGGCTGGCCATTTCAGTACCCGGATCCTTCTCCTACGTAGCCATGATGTTGTGATTGCTGCACAATGTGATCTGGCATTATCGTGTTGAAAAATGCAGGGTCTTCCTTGAAAGAGATGACGTCTAGATGGGAGCATATGTTGTTCTAGAACCTGAACATAGTTCTCTGCATTAATGGTGCCTTTCCAGACATGCAAGCTGCCCATGCCACAAGCGCTCATGCAACCCCATACCATCAGTGATGCAGGCTTCTGAACGGAGTGTTGAGAACAACTTGGGCTATCCTTGTCCTCTCTGGTCCAGATGACATGGCATCCCAGTGTTCCATAAAGAACTTCAAATCGTGACTCATCTGACCACAGAACAGTCTTCCATTTTGCCACACTCCATTTTAAATGACCCCTGGCCCAGTGCAAACGTCTGAGCTTGTGGAACTTGCTTAGAAATGGCTTCCTCTTTGCACTGTAGAGTTTCAGCTGGCAACGGCGGATGGCACGGTGGATTGTGTTCACTGACAATGCTTTCTGGAAGTATTCCTGAGCCCATTCTGTTATTTCCTTGACAGTGGCATTCCTGTTTGAGGTGCAGTGACGTTTAAGGGCCCGGAGATCACGAGCATCCAGTAGAGTTTTACGGCCTTGACCCTTACGCACAGTGATTGTTCCAGATTTTCTGAATCTTTTGATGATGTTATGCACGGTTGATGATGATAACTTAAAAGTCTTTGCTATTTTACGCTGGGAACCACCATTCTGGTATTGCTGCACTATCTTTCTGCACAACAATGGTGGAATTGGTGATCCTCTTACCATCTTGGCTTCTGAGAGACACTGACACTCTGAGAAGCTCTTTTTATACCCAATCATGTTGTCCATTGACCTAATTGGTGTTAATTTGTCTTCCAGCTGTTAGTTATATGCTCAATTTCCTTTTTCCAGCCACTTATTGCTACTTGTCCCAACTTTTTTGGGATTTGTTGACACTGTGAAATTTTGAATCAACATATTTTTCCTTTAAAATGTTACATTTACTCAGATTAAACTTTTGATCTGTCATCTATGTTATATTACGAATAAAATATTGACATTTGCCATCTCCACATCATTGCATTCATTTTTATTCACAATTTGTTTAGTGTCCCAACATTTTTGGAATCCGGTTTGTACTTCAGAAGGTTTTTAGCAGGTTTTCAGCACTCAGCGTTCACACTAAAGTATTTTGAGTGATATTTTAGTGCTCCGTCGTCTCCTCAGGCATGAACTTTCTCTCTCACAGTTCTATTTTGTCTCCTGGTGTTTTTTTCTTCTCAGTGTCACTAAAGTCATATTTTTTTCTTTTTGTTGCTGCAGTCTGTGAGTGACGTCGGACTGGTCCACATTAACCCACATCCCACTTGGCCTCAAGGGTCCAAGAGCCTCCTGAGTCACCTCCCTCTGCACTCGCAGCCGCCCAGCAGAATTCCTAACTCCCTGATTTCCATCGGAGGGATTCATATGATCCAGCCCAGATCCACGCTCCCACTGTACAGCCTGGTGGGCCGCCAAACAGCACCTGGAGCTGACCCCTTTAATGGAAAGCTGACTGTGCCATACCAACAGAAATCACCCAAAGAGGCAGTGCTTCCCAACAGCTGCGCTTGTTCACAGAGTTCTGAAGCTTCAGGACAGGAAGGATAAGATATGTCCACTAGTAAGCAGTCATGAAGTCCAGGGCACTTACATGACATGGACCAGCACATTTACATAAAAAAAAAACCCAAATGCCAAAAAATTGTTTCCTTCCTCTCAGACTCACCTCTGATTGGACCGAGTTTAAAGGGACAGCGCAACAAAACTGAGGAGCAACGTGAACAACAAAAACAGAAAAATATAACAAGTGTGAGCACTTGAAAACCACTTCTGAATGACGTAAGCTTATAAATTATTTA